ACGATAAAATTATTTTCATTGCTACTTACTTCATCACTGTAATTTTGCTACTGTTATGAATCAGGCAACCCCTGTGAAAGGGTCATTCGACACACACACACCCACACCCCAAAGGGGTCCCGACTGACAGATTGAGAACTGCTGCTGTATCGGGTCACTGTGAGTTGGAATCACCGTGATGGCAGTGGGTTTGCTTGACTGGGATCTTCCTCTTAGAAGCCTTGGTGTGGTGCAGATGACTACCATGCTCAGTCCCTACCCAAAAGATGGAGGCTGGAGTCTACCCAGAGGCTCCTTGGAAGAAAGACCTGGTGATCTACTTCTGAAAAGTTAGACGTACAGAATCTGGCTGAGTGTCACTGAAAACCCTTGGGTTTGCCATGAGTAGAAATTGACTCGAGGTGAGCAGCTGGAGTGTGGGCTGGGTAACTCATCTTATCTAACGCTGGCTCCTGTTCCCTGAGACAGCCCTTGTGGTGCTTTCTTGTACATTGATTTCAACTTTCTAAATGGCTTTCCTATATTGTTGTTTTATCGTTTTCCTATCTGGGCATTATCTATTGATGAAAGTCAGACAGTGAGAAATCAGCTTTTTACAAACCGCCGTGTACATTTCTCCATTTCCATCTTCTTAAGATAGTTTTATCAATGTTTATATTATTGTACCTGAGGCACAGAGTATTCTAATTACAATTTCTTTTCATTTTTCTGGGTAGTAATAATTACCATGAGTATTTTGCTTAGTTTGTTATTTGCACATTCATCACCTGTTTTTTCCCAAATGTGTTGCTGGAGCGGTGCAGAATTCCTCCCCATCACCCTCTAGACTGCCCTCGACGTATGTCTAATCAGACTTCCACTGGAAGCCATTTTCTTGTGTTTCTTTCCATCATCTCCTCTCTCTTATCTTCTTTGCTTGATGTCACCCGCAAGATGCCTTCCCCACTCCTGGGTGGCACAGCCCTTCTCTCTGCATCTAAGGCTTTCCTTTTTCTAGCTTTACTTCATTCTTATAGAACATGTCCCTGTTTGCTCCCGAGAGTCTCTGCGATGTAAAGGACAATTTTTGAGCCTACCCTTGAGCCGCATCCTTGACTCATACTTTGGATAGCATTTTCCCTTTGAGTTTCAGAGGCATTCCTCTTTTGTCTTCTAGTTTCCCATGTTGCCATTGAAATCTCTAAATCACTCTAATCCTTTTGATTTTTGATCCTCTGTAGGTGACCACTTTTGTCCTTGCTAAAGGCTTTTAAGGTTTTAAATGTGTGCTTTGTTTTGAATAGAGAACTCATAGTGTGCATATTAATACAGAATACTGTATTTTTAATCTTCATTGAAAGTACTCGGACAACAAAGAATAATTATAAATGTGACCTGGTAGTGTGTTTGAGAGACCATGGTTTCTAGATCTGTTTGCTTCTTATGCTATCTTTTTCTTTTTTAATAAGGGATCCAAAGTGTAGGTTAATACAAAGGAAACTTCCTTGGTCACCCTTAGCTAGCACTAACCTACCACTAAAATTGCAAAAACAAAATTGGAAACAAATTTTACAGATTAGATGGTTTTTCTGATGAAAGTGATGGGGGTATTTGCTATCTTACATTCTCGTGTGAATCGTACATTCTCGTGTGACTGCCCTGATTAAATAGAATTTTCCTAGAGCTAATGGTTCCGACTTTGTTTTTCAGATTGAAATGTTATGCAATTTATAATATCACAAATATGATTATTTACAGTCCTCTCATTTTATGTGTAATTCCTCTTGGCTCTTATTCTTACTCCTTACCATAGAAAGATTTTTAAGACAGGCTTTATCATTATAGCCAGTACATATTTTTCATGAAATGGACTTGCCCCCTGGGCTCACCTGGTGTACTCAGGTTTGTCATTAGTTGTGGAGGTAGCCTTCGTTTTGAAAACGTGCACTGATCTTCCACATGATAACAAATTGCCAATCATCCTCTTGTAAAAGTTTTTTTTTTTAATTACTGATAAATTTGAAAAGGTATTGTACTTGCATGTAGGAATGGAAGCAGTAAACTTGTCTGTCTGAGGTCGATCCCTGGGAAGTTATTTGGAATAACTGTTTCATCTGCACTGCAACCAAAGTTTTGGGTTAGGACAACAGAAGCCTCTCCAGAGGCACCCAGAAGACAGCTCCAGAGGGAAAGATAATGCTAGACCGGACAAAACATAATACTGAGCCATTCACAACCAGCTAACACAGTGCTTCTTTTTGTTTAAAACAAAGCGATTGTACTTTAGAATTCCATGTTACTACAAATATTGTCATTCATTAGAGGATTTGAGAAGGCTGAGTGAGCTTATCCTCCCAACTGCCACTCTCCTTATAATCCTTTTGTTGTATTTTGTTGTCTTGGAGTTAGAAGAAATCGCTGAGGCCCTGTTTTTACTGGCATCATTCCTTGGCTTTCTGCTCAGCATCTGTTGTAGAAACCTTCACTGTACTCTGCAGCCCTTGGCAAGTCAACTGGAAGCATTAAGATTTTGACAGAGAGCATTTTTTTTTGTCTAGCAAAATGGCCCTGCATGAAGCAGATCCTCACTTAAAGGGCTAGATCAGAGTGTATTATAACATGATCTCTGTGAAGAATGAACACTTTCCTGGTTTTTAAAGGGATAATACCTGCATCATCAAAATGTGAACATTCTTTTTCTAAGTCATTTTTAATTGAGGCAAACGAGAGAGGCAACTATTTATATCCTTATTAGGAAGAATGCTAAATATTAAATGCTGTTTATCCAAAGTTGGGAGAGAAAAACCTGACTCATCTCTGACAAATTACGAGTTCTAGATCCTTGAGGTTCAAGTTTTCAAATGGCTTTCATTTACTATGCAGGTAATAAAACTTAACTGCAATATAATGAAATGAGAGAGCCAGAGATATAAGACAAAAGTCCTTTGCTCATAGTAAAATTCTGAAAGTTGAAAGTTTAGTTACCCTTGTTTTTATCTTTAGTATGAAAAAAGCTGGGACATTATTCTTGATTATGTTTTTACAATAATTTAAAGAGACAGTGCTTAGAAAGATCCATTTAGCCTCCACTCAAGTACTCCCTCAACACAAGAATACTTTCTTCTAGTAAATTGGCATTCTATGATGCTCACCTTCCTGACACAACCACTGAAGACAAAGCGGGTGAATAAGCAAATGTGGTGAAGAAAGCTGATGGTGCCCGGCTATCAAAAGATATAGCGTCTGGGGTCTTAAAAGCTTGAAGGTAAACAAGCGGCCATCTAGCTCAGAAGCAACAAAGCCCACATGGAACAACATATCAACCTGTGTGATCACGGGGTGTCGAACGGATCACTGAAGACAAATGGGTGCATAAGCAAATGTGGCAAAGAAAGCTGATGGTGCCCGGCTATCAAAAAGTATAGTGTCTGGGGTCTTAAAGGCTTGAAGGTAATCAAGCAGCCATCAAGCTCAGAAGCAACAAAGCCCACATGGAAGAAGCACACCAGCCTATGCAACCACAAGGTGTCGAAGGGATCAGGTGTAAGGCATCATCAGAACAAAAAATCTTACCATAGTGAATGATGGGGGGAGTGCGGAGTGGAGATCCAAAGCCCATTAGTAGACCACTGGAGATCCCCTTGCAGAGGGATCTCGGGGAGGAGATGAGCCAGTCAGGGTGCGATGTAACAATGATGAGAAAAAACAATCTTCCTCTAGTTCCTAAAGGTTTCCTCCCCGCTCCCACTACCATGACTCGAATTCTATCTTGCAAGACTGGCTAGACCAGAGGAGGTACACTGGTACAGATAGGAACTGAAAATACAGGGAATCCAGGACGGATGAGCCCTATAGGACCAGTGGTGTGAGTGGCAACACAGGGAGGGTAAAGGGAGAATGGGTAGGAAAGAGGGAACCGATTACATGGAACTGTGTGTGACCTCCTCCCTGGGGGACAGACAACCAAAAAGTGGATGAAGGGAGACGTCGGACAGGGCAAGATATGACAAAATACCCATTTATAAACTATCAAGGGCTCATGCGGGAGGGGGGAGCGGGGTGGGAGGGGAAAAATGAGGACCTAATGTCGTGGGTTTAAATGGAGAGAAAATGTTTTGAGAAACGATGTACAAATGCGCTTTACACAATTGATGTGTGTATGGATTGGGATAACAGTTGTATGAGCCCCTAATAAAATGTTAAAGAAAATTAATTAATTAATTAAAAAAAAAAAAGATCCATTTAATCCAGTTCTTCATCCTACTTGAAATTGACTTTGTTCTTATTAAAGGTCTCTCCTGTCATATGCTCCCTTAAAGTCTTCCAGGATTTTGTTTGTCTTTCAGACAGAAAGCCATGTTCAATATCCCATATTTTTTAAACTTCTATGAAGAAAAACATCAGGGTCAATTAGACTGGTATGGATAATTAAATTGTTCATCCTTAGTCAAACCAGCCACTTGGATTCAGCTATCATTTTTAGTGTTCTTGTATGAGATTAAGGAAAGACTTCAATTTCTTGAAATCATTAAGACACACATCACCTTCTGTTTCATTTCTTGGAAAAAGAAATCCACTGGCCAGCATTCGGATGAAGAATCTATAACGTAAAAGGTCATGCTGTTTACTCTGTCATCTAGGTTTGACTTTGGTTTCAGTCTGAATACTGACGGAGGCTTCATCAAAGCTGACTTTCAGCACCAATTAAGAAAGCGGCTCAAAAACAGTTTTGTGTGTGTTCCATAATCTCTCCCTTGCTACTTACGCTGTCTATTGCAAAATTTTATTCCTTCTATCACAAAGCTGTCTTGCTTCACTAACTTGACTTTCTGCTCTCAATAATAACGCTGCTGCAACTTCCTGTACACTTTTTCTTTCCTTGTTTTATTCTTTCCTCTTTGAAGGTCTCTCTTTTACCTTTCCTAACTTCTGAAAGGAAGAACATTTAGTAAGAAAATGGACCTTTCTTGGTAAACGGGCTCTCCGTGGATTGACTAAGTCGTCTACCCATCGCTTTCCAGGACAATCTACGTAAGAAGGACGACAGGATTGAAGAGCTGGAGGAAGCACTAAGAGAAAGCGTGCAGATAACTGCTGAGCGGGAAATGGTGCTCGCACAAGAGGAATCTGCCAGGACCAATGCTGAGAAACAGGTCTGGATTTTACATAGTTGCTGGTGACCATGCTGGGTAAACAAGAGGTAAAAACAAACCAGTCTGGCATAGGGAAACTCGATATAGTGTAAATTTATAGGGGGTGCCAAGGCATTTCACCAAGTGTAAGTATTTTGATTTTAATAAAAATAGAAATACAGTTGCATGAGACTCATAACTGACTCATGTTTCAGAAGATGTCGGCATTAATAACTTAGAGCTGGTTTCATACATATACTTTGTAACATATGCTCAAGGCGCACAATGGGTTAAGCATTGATCTCACCTCGAAAGGCCCGTGGAACAATTGTACTCTGTCCTAAAAAATCACTATGTTTGGAATTGATGTGAGGATACCAGGTTATTATGATCATGTGTCTACTGAAGTGAAACATGTCTGCTTGATACAAGTCTGGGCACAGCCCTGACTTTAAATTGAATGAAAAAGTGTAAACATTCCTGGCTCAAAGATGTTCATTTCTAGTAGAAAGTAGTTTCATTATTTTTATACACCACCTTTTAAAAAAGGACAATTAAGGCTATAAGGAATCAAGGTTAATAGCAAGGATAAGGATATAGATAACGTGACACCGGAATGTTCCAGAGTTACTGCTATTTGTGATATATACACTTCTTACATATTTTTAGCTAGAGTTGATTTGAAATGGGTGAAGTAGGTGTTTTAGTTTCTTTTAAGAAAAGATCTTGTTTGAAGGTAGAATAGAGATGTGAATAGAATATGAGAGGTGTGCAGCAGTGGGTGCTTGTGGACAGCTGACCTTGTGGTTAGCAGCCCAACACAAACCCACTTCACCACCAGGGCTCCTTTGAATACTAAGAAAGAATGGTACATTTTCAAGTCAGACAAAGATAATGTGTACCACAAGGATTCCCTTCATAGCTGTGTTAGATGCAAATAGATGGTTCATTTGATGTCAAGTACAAAAAGACAAACTGACATTTATTAGGAAACTTAAGATTGAGTTTTTGGGGGTGCTTTTTTTGTTGTTGTTTGTTTTTTCCTCATCTTTACGTACAATTAAATATAGTGGGGCGGGGGAAGCATGGAAAATAAGCCCTGGGGGAGCAGTGGGCCATTATGCAGGAGAAAGACCGGCAGTCTGCTCCCATCAAGATTTCCAGCCTCGGAAACCATCGGGAGCAGTTCTCCTCCGCCCTCCAGGGCCCTTGATTGGAATGGTCTCCACAGCAATGGATGTGGTTTGAGGTGTAGCTGTGTGGGAGAACTTCAGAGAAGGGAGGGCGAGATCGTTCCAAGGTGGGGAGAGATTTTCCTTTACCTTGATTTCACCCTTCCTACATTCGTGCTCTTTTTTGCTAAATGATTCCCCTCCACCCCAAATTTTTTTTCTTTCTGCAAAGATTTCTTACTGGTTGAGCTTCATTATTTTGACAAGTCTTATGTATCAGAGATCTTGCAGGGATTTGACAATTAAAAATAGATCCTATCTTTATGGAGTATAGATTGCTGTTTTTTGGTTTGGTTGTTTTTTTTTTAAGCTATTGTAGTACAAAGCAATTTTTAATTTGCTTTTAATTGCATGCTTTGTTTTCCCCTTCTCTCTTCCTGGCTTATCTTGTCCATCATCCTGGTACTCACAACCTATCTGAAGCTGTTCAGTGAAATATCGTATGAGACCTATCATTTGAGGCTGTAAGTGGTTCAAAGTATGAGGAGAGAGAAAAGTGTGTTTTTATGTTTGTGCTACTGAAGGTTTATGTCATCTGCCCCTTTTATCCACTGTTCCCTCCTCCACGTGTTTTCTGATTTTCTCTTACTGTTATTGTTTTCTGTTTTCTAGCCCTGCTGTTAATTTTACACGTATAAATTACTTTTACCCACTGAGATACTCTACAAATAGCCGTTTGAAATACTTGAAAAGGATGGTGTTTTGGGGGTTAGGAACATTATTTTTAACATCTTGCTCAGGTCCTGAAATTAAATTTAGCCCCTGTCTCTTGCTTAAATTTAGACCCTGAGAGAAAAGTGCTCCCTCTGCTAGCTCGGGAGGCTATCAGCATCTCTTGACTTCCTAGAGAGCAGAGTAAAGCTTTTGGGAACCATTCCTTCTATGAAAATAAGATACAGAACCTTAAGAACAGCAACAGAAAGATAGAAAACTTTGTAAAGAACGAACCAGGAGAAGCCCCCAAAGGAGAGTATATCTTGAAGCCTTTCCCATATTTCCACAGGATCCTCTTAGAGTTTCCTCATTCCCAGTCTGTGCTGCTCTGAAGTGAACCCTGGTCAAGCATTTAGAGACGTTTGTGTAGTGCTCCCGGGAAGGAAGATGGTCTCTAAGCTGTGCGGGCCAATGAAGAGATGAAAGTGAATAACCCCCAAGGGTTCTTCCACTTTTGTTTCGCTGCGTTCCACAGAGAGGGATTCTTTTTCACAGATTTTCTCTGCTCACACTTTGGCAGGTTTTGTGTTTTGTTGAATAAGAGAGTTCATTTTCTTAAAATAAGTATAAATCAAATTTGTACTTTAAAAAAGTGTCAGAATTGCCAGGAGGTCGAGGAGAATTAGACTAAATTCAGCAGAGTTGCTCTGGTTTCACAAGAGTTTTAAAATTGTGTGTGCGTGTGTGTGTGCGTGTGCGTGTGCGTGTGTGCGTGCGTGCGTGCGGCGCTATTTCCATCAAGATCTGCTGATTATGGTTTGAAAAAATGCCTGTAAGTAACTATACTGTGTGTGTGTTAGTTACTCAGCTAGATTTATATCTTATTCCTATAGAATATTTTTAAATGTTTGAGTAGTGATAAAGGAATATCCTCTCAACTAACATTTGTGTATAAAAGGTCTGATTAAAAAAAATGTTTTTAATAATGAAACTCAAAAGTGCCATTTTGACATTATTGGCCTTCTATATTAAGTAAGAATTCTTGACCTAGTCATAGAGTATCATAATGGTTTGGGTTCTAAAAAAAATCATTTTATTGGGGGCTCATACAACTCTTATCACAATCCATACATACATCAATTGTGTGTAAAGCACATTGTGCATTCATTACCCTCATCATTCTCAAAACATTTGCCCTCTATGTAAATCCCTGGCATCAGCTCCTCATTTTTCCCCCTCCCTCCCACTCTCCCCTCCCTCATGAACCTTTGATAATTTATAAATTAGTATTTTGTCTTATCTTAAGCTGTCCGATGTCTTCTTTCACCCACTTTTCTGTTGTCCGTCCCCCAGGGAGGAGGTCACATGTAGATCCTTGTAATCGGTTCCCCGTTTCTGTCACCCTTCCCCCCACCCTCCCAGTACCGCCACTCTCACCACTGTCCTGAAGGGATCATCCGCCCTGGATTCCCTGTGCTTCCAGTTCCTATCTGTACCAGTGCACATCCTCTGGTCTAGCCAGATTTGTAAGGTAGAATTCGGATCATGTTAGTGGGGTGGGGGGTGGGGCGGAGGGAGGAAGCATTTAGGAACTAGAGGAAAGTTGTATGTGTCATTGTTGCTACACTGCACCCTGACTGGTTCGTCTCCTCCCTGCAGCCCTAGTCGTAGAGTATCATAATGTTTTATATGTGATTTACTACATCATTCACAGGTGACTTGATATGTGTATGATTATATCTTTTGGTTTTTAATGATTTGTTAAATTCTTTATTGACTATTAAGCTGTCTTGTCATTTCTACAACCGTGTCAGCGTGATAGCAAAGACTTTTGAGTTTTTTCACGTAGAACAATTCTGTACTGGTCTGATATTTATAGTAAAGTATATTTTATTGATTTTTATCAAATGGTATAACACTCAGAAAATGAAATGATACCTGTATTTTGCTTCATCTTATTCTACACACCTTTACAGAACACCTTATATTTTCCCCAGTCCAGCTAAACACACTGGAAATAAAAAGGTGATGAATAATAGCCTCTATGTTCATGTAGCTCATAGTTAACTAGAATTGGCTGAAGAATGAGCCTCTCTAGTTAAGCACTATGATAAAAACCAAGCCAAAACTCAGTCACCAAGTTGATTCTGACTCATGGTGACCTTATATAGGGGTTTCTGAGACTAAATCTTCATGGGAAGCAGGCAGCCTCATTTTTGGCTGGTTAGCAGCCCAACACCTGCCCACCACCCCAAGAATGTATTTTGAGAAGAGACAGGAGAGACAAGTAATCCTCATTGGGAAGGCTAATGGGGCGTCCTGACTGATGCATGAGCCGAGTCTTAAGTAGAGAATATTTATGCATTCGTTTGTCTACACATTCAGGTGCTTATTTGACACCTATTTATATTGATCTTCACACTAGCAATCCAGGATCGTATATGGTGATGAGGAAAGCAACCGTAGTGTCTTCCCAAAGAGTGCTTACAGTTCAGAGGGAGTGACAAAACTCAAACCAGCAAATGAAAAACTAATTATAACTTAACAGAAAGTACTGCAAAGGGAAAGAGCAGGCTTTTTCTGCAAGAGACAATAAATACTTTGATGGAAGTTGTAGGGATTTGAACCTATTGTATTTTAAATTAAGTGCTTTCAGAAGGTTCTCTGATTAATAACATTTACCCTGAGTACTGAAGGATTAGGACAGATTTGTCATATGAAACATAGGGCAGAATCACCACTTACTACACCAGTATGATTAGAAAGAGCTGGAGATACTGGATGAAGCTATGATTGGTGGACCAGGAGCAAAGTGTAGAGGGTCTTATGTAAGTCTTGTTTTTATTTTTTTTAAGTGGAGTAGACATCATTGAAGGGTGTGAAGCAATATATAATATTATCTGATCATCTGTTCTCAAAAGATTCCCCTAGCGGCTAGGTGAAGAATGCCTTATGGGATCTCCCCAGTAGATTCTCACACAGAGGGTGAGTTAGTTAATTGTGCCAGCCTGGCCGATAATCACATGTGGGGCTAATTGAAAGGCGGAGGAATAAATGGGTCGTGAGCCTCACCTTTGTAGTTCTCTGTCTCTTGCTTTGTGATGGTTGCACCAGGATGCAGCTGCCTTAGCAGCT